CAATTTAACTATTAAGGGTTAAAAAAAATCCACTGAACCACAGCGAGAGCCATATTCCCCAAATGGAGAAAACTTGAAACAGTGTGAACCTTCCCAGGAGGGGTCGGCTTCCCAAATTCACTCCAAGAGTACTGACAACTCCACAAAAGAACCCAGAACAACATCTAAAGACCTGAAGGCCTCATTTGTCTCAGTTAATGTCAGCGTTCATGATTCAACGATAGAAAGAGACTGAGCAAAAACAGCATCGATGGGAGAGAACAAGGAGAAATCCACTTCATCCGTGACATCTGGCATAAATTGAACAAAGCAAATCATAAAAAGAACGTCATACATGGGACGACAATCAAGTTATGCCCTAAACCTCAAGATCTGAAACACACCAGCAGGTCCGCCTCTAAATGGCTCAGATAACGGCACTGTTGCCTCACCGTCGCACACGTGCAGGTTTCTAACCCACCATGTTGTCAGGCCTTTCTGTGTGGAGTCTGCATGCTCTCTCTGTGTGACCTAGTTAAAGTGTGGACTTAAATCCAACTGAGATGTTTTGGCGTGACCTTAAACAAGCAGTTCATGCTGGAAACCCCTTAAATGTGGCTAAATTAAAAAACTATTCTGCAAAGATTAGTGGGCCAAAATTCCTCCACGCTGATGTGAGACTCACTGCCAGTTATCACAATCACTTGATTGCAGTTTTTGCTGCCAAGGGTGGCAAAACCACATTCATAGGTTTAGGAGGGCGATTACTTTTCCACACAGGGCCGTGTATGCTTGGATAGATTTTCGTTGCCCTGAATAAATTAAATCCTCATTTAAAAACTGCACTTTTTATTTATTCAGGTTGTCTTTTTCTTATTTCTAAACACATCAGGAAGAGGAAAAATACTTTTTCACAGCACTGCAGGTGTAAAATTCTCCCTGATCATTACTTTTACATCTTTATGAATGCTGCATTGTACTTTTTAATTACAATAAATTGAAGCACAAAGTGAGGACACAGAGTCGAACGTTTCATGTGAAAAGATAACGACTCGCTCACCTCCAGCAGAGTCTGGGGGCCGTACATGTCCCAGATCTTCCTCCTGCGAACATCGATGCCCCTTCCAGGGTGCTGTAACACAAGACGGCCTGATGGTCAGAGAGGCTAATCAACCTCAAACACATTCACACACTCAGCCAAGTCAGATCAAAAACATTAAAATTTAGAATGTACCCCTTAACGACAATGGCCGGCCGATATGTTTCTACTACCAGATCTGGACCTGCCCCGGCGTTTCCCCCATCTATAAAAGGCTGTCAGTCCACTGTTTACCTCAGCTGCTGAGTGAGAGATGTCCATCTTTATTTACGCTTTACTTTGTCAAAGGAGATCGATACGGGTTGAGCTGCTGTTTTTGCCGCTGTTAGCTCCTGTTAGCCAACAAAGTTGGAATCAAACACTTACTGAATAAACTCGCATCCAATGTGAGAATGCAATCAAACTGTTTATCAGAGGGAAAATGTGACCTTTAAACTCTACGTTATACTAACTGTTGTTGTTGCCAGCTCATTGTGAGTTGCCTGGAGATACGAGGGTCGCATTTCTAATCTGTAGAAAATATGTAATTGGGACAATATCTGGAATAAATCAGCATAGTTATGAAAATGTTTGTCTTCAGTTCAGGAAACAAGGTATGAGATGTTG